CAAGTAAGAAGTGTAATTTATAAATTAATAATGATAATAATAATAATAATATATAAAAAATGAAGACAACTTAGGGCAAAGCCTAGTTCAAAATGGGCACATTAGACATTCGCATCCTTCATAAATAATGCATCCAATGCTTTTGTCTGGCCAAATTATGCTTAACCACGACTGGGGTAAAGTAAAATAGCATCCCGATCTCTGTTAGAGTCATGGACACGGTTAGCATGCAGCCGGCCCGTATATTGTAGTAATGAGGGCTTTGACTATAAATAATTTTTTTGAAGAGAGTATATATAATGAAATAATTTACTTTTGATACAAGGTGGTCACAATTATTTACAACCATTTGATGTGAAATTTGATAGTTTGGATGTGTCCTAAAGTTGGAAAAAATTTATTTTGAAGTTTGAGCTTGGTCAATTGAATAATTGCGGCTACCTAACTTCACATCCAATAGTCAAGATTATTGTGACCTCCTTGTATCAAAAGTAAAAAGTCTCATTCAATACTTTTTATTTTTTAAAATATAATTTGATCATAATTTTTAAAAAATATATATTGTTTAACATAAAGATTATGAATATGAAAAATAAAATAAAATTTAAAAACTAGAAATAATAATTATATTAAAAAAACACTTGGACCGTTAGTTATAATTGTTTTTAAATGGATAATCTATTTGTATTTATGTTTAAGATGGATGCTTTATACCTCTAAAGCGCATATTCAGAGCCCATGAAACAATTGTTCTATAGTGAACGTAGTGGAGCAATGACAAGGACAATTGATGGAACAAAACACGAAAATGTTCTTTTTTTGAGTGGCTATGCTACGCTCTCGGGGGAGTAAAGCTATTCATCTACTCCCTTGGACAGAAGACCCACTTGGGAGGCTTTTTTTAATTCAAAACTTTTGAAATTAAATAAGAAGTTATTTTCGAAAGAGAAAATCTGGTTTTTGAGTTTTCTAATGCATTATTATTTTTAAGTATATAGAAATTATGATTTGCAATTTTTCTTTTTCAAGTATTGTTTATGGGTTGACAATGTTATTTCCTTAAATTTTAGAATCCTAAACTTAATTTTAGATTGGGTTTTACCCGAGGAAGTAAATGCATGGTGTGCTCCCATGGGAGCATTAAATCTTCTGGCTTTCTTTTTCCCGGGTGAGATTTGTTTATGGTACTGTCGTGGTGCACCTCTAAAATTTGTTTAGAGACATAGTTTCGGTGTTGAAAATCTTACCGAGTGCTTGAAAATGTCTTTTTATCTCTAGTTATAAAATTTGAAATTTAAAAAATAGTACCGATCAAGAAGATCTATAAACACTTGAAAATCTAAAAAATAGACTGTCTGAAAAAATCGTTACAAGATGCACTATTTTTTAGGAGTTGAAATTCTTTTTTGATTTATATCCACATATCTTAAGGGTAAGATGACTGATTGGAGTATTTTCTAATTTTGGAACATTTCTAAAGGATTTTTGATGTGCATCTTACTTCAACTTAAAGGTTACATTCTTATATAACCTTCTTTTTTTTTTTTTTAATACAAGCAATCAGCCAGGGTTCATTTGTTACGAAAATTATATAAAGAGACATTTACTTTTAATACAAAGAGGTCACAATCACTCTAGTCCGTCTGATTTCAATTTGAGTGTTTGTCAATGTATCATTGACTAGACTCAAAATTTAAAAAAAAAATCTCAAACTTTGTATCACATTCCAAACCATCCGATTTGACGTCTAACGACTAATAAAAATAAAATTCAAGAATCATAGTTTTAGAAAGGCAACAATAAAAATATTATTCATCCTAGTTTTAGAAAGACAATAATAAAAATATTACTCTTTCTTTTTGAGAGAATGTAGCAAAATAGAAAAGTGTATATTACATATAATAAGATAGAAAAGTGTCCATTATACCATTATATCATTATTATATATTATTATATACACAATGAAAGAGAGCACAATTATTTTATCAAAAAGTTCCTCTCACTCCAAAATTTTTTCTATGGTATCAATGCAAACATCGATCCCAATCTCAGTGTTTCATGTTATAAGATGTTTCTCAATCGAAAGTTAAGTCTCTCACTCTCCTTTCATTACATGTGTAGTTTTGAAAATTGTCATGGAAATTTCGTGCAAATTCTTTTCTCTATCTCCTGTTTTTCACTTCGCCATTGTCTTCGCATCTCTTTAAAAGATTTATTCTCCTTTTTATTCATCCCAATTCTCATAAATCCATGAAACCCATTTTCTATATCCTCTTAAACCATAGCATCATTCCTTCTTCTTTCTCATTAAAATCCAACTCCCTCCTTTCCATCTTTTTCTTTTCTCAAGACATCTAATACCCTTCTCTCTACCTTTTAAGCTATCTTAGATAAAGATAGATAGATAGGTTATCTCTTCTTCTCTGAGATTTTTTCAAGCCCTAACTCATATACGTCATTAATCCATATTATTTCTCACGTTTGTTTAAACCAAGTCTTTCTTAGTTGATCCATTTCTTTATTAGAACATTGTTGGTGCACTTCAATATATCATCATAACACGGTCTGACCTTTTCAATAGTGTTAATACAATGTGTTAATTTATACATATGCCGTTGTATTAATACGATGTTAGCGTGGGGCACAATTATTTTATCAAAAAGTTCCTCTCTCTTTCTCTAAAATTTCTTTAATGACTAATACATAATCTCATGTATACAATCTACATTTATTAAATGAATTCATTAGAAAATTTGGTTAGAAAATGGACTCAGTCGAGTCACATATGATAAAAACAACTTTAAAAAATGGGATTTTTTTTTAAATGGTTAAAGATAATAGCATTAGAAGACTAAATAAATGAAAAAAATCTATAAAAAATAAATTATTTGTTCAAAAAATCAACTCAGCTAAAGTACTCTGCCCTTGGCCGAGCTGATCTACTTGGACGAGTCTGATTAACTCGCCCAAGTAGAGTTCGAGTTTAAAAACTAAAAATTAACTCATAAATTAGAATATATGGTATATCCTTCCAACTGTATAACATTAAACGCTGAATGTGTGATACTTCTTGGGTTCGAACCCTTCTTTATGTTAAAAAAATAAGATAATATAACGATAGATATATGAAGCATTGGACTTTTTTGACAATTATTTAACGCTCATTCAATGTTCTTTATAAGGGCAATGTTTGCTGAACATTCCGGGTATGTTGATACGGCAAAGAATCAGGCGTTAAACTGCTGAATGACCACTTCCTTTATTTTATCTGAGCATTTCAGATGCAATGGTAGACGATGAACAACTCTATGCTTAGGCCTGAATCACCGCTTCCTTTATTTTATTTGACCAATTTGGACGCAACGGAAGACGATGAACGACCAGATCTATATCTAGGCCTGAATCACCACCTCTTTTATTTTATCGGACCAATTCGGACGCAACGGTAAACGATGAACAACCGGATCTATGTCTAGGCCTGGCATGTCTTGGTGTGACTAAGCGAAAACATCTACGTAGCTCTGAATAAAACTTATCATGGCGAACCTCTGCTCTCAAGATAATGCAGTTCCGATCTTCACCTCCTCTTCTTTGGACTTCCATTGACAAATTATTTAGTGGTGTGTTGGGTAGGGCGCACGCTCATCCAATGTTCACAAGAGTTCTTGGTATCAAATTCCCTTTTCTTGTTTTTTTTTTTTTTTGTCACTTATGTTTTCTCTTTAAAAGAAAAAATAAAAGAAGAGTAGGATTCAAACCCTACCTATCCAAGACAAGAAGCCGGCACAATACCCAACGTGCCATTTGAGTTCTTCTCTTTAAAAATGGAACATTATTATATAGAAAATTGTTTCATGGTCTGGACCGTATTTCTACATATAAGGTCGATAAAGTGTAAAGCATCGGTGTTCCATCTAAAACACAAAGGAAACTAATGGTTCTGATGTTTTTTTACTAGAATTGTTATTTTTACTTTTAATTTTTTATTTTTTTATTTCTTCATTTCATGATCTTCATGTTAAAGATTCCATATCTTTAAAAATTAAGTCTTAAAATCCATCTCAAAAATAAATTTATTAAGAGGCCCACATTTCTACATATGCGAGCTTGGCCGCATAGAAACCGCATCCTTATATATATAACCATCAAGCATATATGTACAGCGTACCCGGGGCAAACTGCCACACCCATAGGACAAGTCCAAGTATACCTAGATGAGTCTCGAAACACTGGATTATTTAAAATTTTAATTTTGATTTGAAGATTTCAAGAAATATCTGAAAAAAAAGAAAACAAATTATCTTGAAACTACCAAAATCATCTAAAATCTTATTTCTAACTAATATTGTTTTCTCAATTTTTAATATTTTCTTTCTTATATGTTTTTACCCCATTAATAAGGATGGGGCGGGGGCGAGTTGCTTTAGAACTTGCCCCCTACTCGGCCTCACCAATAGGGCGAGTCACTTAAGGCTGGTCTTGACTGCAGGATAACCCACCAAATACTAGAACAAACAACGGACTAAGCTTTACGAAAACAAAGTAAAGCCTCACTGCGAGTCATCATTTGAAAATAATTTAGGCATCATAAATCTCTACAGTAGCTTAAAATCAATTCACAAAAATTGAAATTTGAAGCTCAATAACTAATAAAAATTTTACAATCTATGAACAACCATTTTTAACGCAAATTCGACAGTACACTGTGTTACATTATCTACTATATTTAGCGTTTGACATTCTCTTTTTTTTTTGTTTTTTTCAACAAACATAATGGTCAGGATGATATTTGCCACCAAAATTACAGTTTTTGGTAATTTTTTGAGGTGACGCTTAACTTAGTTTGATTTGAGCGCCCCCCTATAAAAACATTTTGAAATTTAATTTGTGGAAGGCGGCCTTTCTCCTGACAAGTGACGCAACTTCTAAAACCACCACAAAATGTATGAAGAAAAAGGCATTAAATATCAATTGTGTACTGCTATTGCAGCAATAATGGAGTCAAATAAGGCAAGCAAAAAAACAATAATTGAAGATAAAACAAAATAAAATAAAGGACTTTAAGAAAGAGAGGATAAGAACAAGGGAAATAAGTGATTTTATTGTAAGATTGAGGTGCCATGAGTGGAGTGGTGGTAGATGCAGCTGCAACAATTCTGTTATGTGCTCTTCATCTTCTTCTTCTGTGTATTGTTGAATGTGCTCCTCAGGGTGCAGAGGTGCTTCGATTTCCTGGCTTTGATGGCGATCTCCCTTCCAAGCATTATGCAGGGTTGGTTCTTCTCTCCTTTTTTTTTCGTTTGGCTTCTTGAATTGTGATGAGCCTCTCTCTCTCTCGACCCTTAATTGAATTTCCATGCAACCTTTCTCTCTCTCTCTTTGCATATACAATTGTAATGGGAAAGTCTTCTCTTTCAATCATGATATTATTATAGAGTGAATTACTCTAAAAAATTTTTCTAAAATATGAAATACTCTATTTATAATTCTAAAATATGAAATTATAAGTGGAAATCACAGAGAAAGTTAACAAATTACATTCAGACCTTCTTTTTATGACCTTTTTCTAAAAAAAAAAGTTCGTGTTTTTTTGTACCTGACAGCTCTCTCGTACATTTCCCCTATATTTTCGAAAGAGTTCCTTTTTTGGATTCTTTCACGCATTGAACTCCCTATTTCCACTCTCTTTCTCTCTCTCTTCCCTTTCGATCTATTTGCATTTCTCTCGCCTCTCTCTCTCTAGAAAGGGCAGCTCGTAGAGATCTGAGACAACTAGAGTCTCTCTCTAGAAATGGCAGCATGTAGAGCTCTGAGACAACTAATGCACAGCCTAACCAGACCGCTGAATCCCAGGCCCACCTCCGTCTACACAAGCAAACTCCCGAAAGTTGCCGGAAAACCTGCCGATTTCCAGTGAGAAGCAAAATTTTGGGCGATTTTTGCAGCACCGAGACATTTTTAGGTGTCCACCTCGCCGGAGATCTTCTCCCTCACCTTGGGCGACATGCTCATGGAGAAGATCAGGAACCAATATCTCTCCGTCTCTGACAGATGCCAGCAGATTCGAAGATTGGAACCAAAATTGAACTTCATTGGCCTCTCTCTCTCTCAATCGAAATCCACACAAGCCTCACCTGATAATATCATGGCAGAGCAAAGAGATCAGGCTAGAAAGAGAGCCACTGGAATCCTTCTCTCTATATAACCCTATAAAACCACTTCTCTTAGATACCCCATTTCCACCAATTCCACCCACGAGTATGTTGGTACGAGTGTGTGGCCGTGGGCCTTTAAATCGTGCAATATTTCTCTTTTTAATAATTTAATGTTTATCTTTATAAAAGGAATAACTTTTTAAAGAGAAAAAGTGCCGTTATCTCATGGCTAAAACGTAATAACCCACTTCTTAAGATTACAGGAATGCAAGTAATCACCCACTTCCTAATATTGGAGAATGGCTTCCTCCATCCCCCTTTAAGAACGATTTCGAATGGCTTCTTCCATCCCTCTTTAAGAACGATTTCATGGGCATAGAGAGGTACATTGAAATTTACAGAGTTTTCATAGTTCTGGTAAAAGCCTAATTTTTGCAATCGATAGTCTCATGACACTGCAAGCATGATCTTTGCAATCGATAGTCTTACGACATTGCCCCTAATCCTAAAAGTGGGTCCATCATGATCTTTGCAATCGATAGTCTCACGACATTGCTCCTAATCCTAAAAGTGGGTCCATCTCTTCCCTCAAGTTTTTCAAAATTGGTACTAGAGCCTTTTGTGGAAGCATGGTATGCTCGTAACCTACCGTTCCCAAGTTCTACTATTTATTTATTTATTTTTAATTTAATTCTTGCACATAACCCACAAGTCCCAAGATCAAAATCAATTATTTGGTTTATTATGAGTTTGTATTTTATTGAACAATATCTCTCTTAATTTTATTTTAATATCAATTCTCTATTTACTCTGTTAAAATTTGTCATCTCTGATAAAGTTGATTTCATAAGCCATGAGTCAATTTATTATTTATTCGTTATTATCTCTAAGATAATTGTTCCCTTGTTGGGTTTATCTTATTGTTGTAAAAATTATCTGAATCCTTTGTTATCAATCTGTTGCTATTTTCTCTCATAAATTATTATACCTTTCACAAGTTAATAGGCGTACTTTGTTAAAGCAACAAAAGTAGACGCACATTGATTTAAACCATTTGCACTTTTGATATACGTACTTTGTAAATAGGGATTTAATCACATATTTTTTATTCTCTCGTGGCCTTTATTTCTTGCTCATTATCAAGGTAACATTTTTTTTTATCGCTGATTTTTTGTATTTTTTTTTTGTATGCCTCTGTGTAACCAAATTTTTTTTTTTTGAGGCGAACTTTTTCAATAGAAATCGTTGCTGATGGTTATAAAAATAAAAAAATAAAAAAAATAAATAAATAAATAAATAAAAAGTTAATAAAATTTTAGAGAGAGATAAAAACACACATAATTGCTGAAATCAGTTGGCTTGCACCTTTCTTTCTTCCATATTTTATTGCTGAAAATTTGTGCATAATTTTATTGGATTATTGAAAATTGTTATGCACACAACAACTATTCAAGTAAAGGTTGTTATACTAATTGCATGCATTTTTTTTATGGCTTATAATTTAGGGATTTACTACATATTTTATTTGCATAATAATTGTCATTACATTGCATAATTATCCTATGTTTGGGTCTTTTTAAGTTATAAAATTTCTTGATCTTGATTTTGTGAATTCATTATTTTTATGATTATGCAATGCCATATTTTTGTTGAAAATATCAAAATATCATTGTAGACTCTCTCTTTTGTGCTAAAACATATTCATATATTTATAAAACTTATTTTTATGCAAGATTTGATATAAAGTAGTTGTTGCCTTACTTTATTAATTTTTTGTTGCATCACAGCAGTGCGAACATAAAATGTTCGAGAAATTTTTTTTTTTTTGAGGTCCCGGCTCGCTGAGACTCGGCAAACCTATTGAGTTAACTGGCAGACAACCTTTTCTTAAACATAATTAACTTTTTTTTTTTTTTTGAAACTTTTAGGTATTATCTAAAAATTTAAAATGGCATCTAGGCTAGTTATGTCAAAACTATCCAAACTGGAAAAACTCAATGGGACCAATTTTTCTATGTGAAAAAGAAAAATTGGATATATTCTTTTTCAAGAAAGGGTAGATTATGACCTAGAAACAGAACCACCAGTTTTAGAGCCTAATGCCATTGGATAAGCTAGAAAGCGACTTGAACAATGGTTAGAAGATGACAAAGTAGCTAAGACTACTATGTTGAGCTTTATGGAAGATGATTTAATTAGATTCTTTGAGGATTACACCGCAGCTCAAAGTATGATGGGCGCCCTATCTGAAAAGTATGGGACCACTTCTGAGACCCATGTACAATTGTTGTTAGAAAAATACAATTCTTGTAGAATGAAAGAAACAGACTCAGTGACCGAGCATGTCAATAAAATGACAGTGCTCGCAAAAGACCTTGCTACAGCTGGGAATCCAGTCCCCGATCGCATGCAAGTGTCCATTGTCCTTAACAGTCTCCCTCCATCTTGGGAATCTGTTGTAATTGCATTGAACCATTCTGCACACGGGATAACCATGTTAAATCTTCTCATGCATCTTAATATTGAAGCTGAGAGAAGAATGAGGAAGAAGTCAACTGAGCTCCATTTTGCCCAAAGTTCATCTTCTCAAATCCCCAAGAAACCTTTCACTTATCAGAAAAATAATAGGTATAAGGGAAATGGGAAAAATTTTAAAAATCAAAAGAATAAGGTTAAGAAGACCTGTTTTTATTGTAAAGAAATTGGACACATCGAGTTTAATTGTCTTCAGCTGAAAAATAAAAATAGGAACTAAAATAACAACCTTGCTCGAAATAATCAAAATAAGAGAAAGGACTTAATCTACGTAGTCTTAGAATCAATAGTTGTCGATCATGACCTGAGAAATTGGTGGGTCGACTCAGCCTCCACTCGACTTGTCTCAAGGACCACGGATGGATTCACAGAATTGAAAGAGATTGCAGCTGGTAACCAATGGATTTATATGGGAAATGGCACCTACTACGATGTACTAGGTGTTGGTACTTTCAAGCTATGTTTACCAGGAGGAACAAATTTCTTATTGACTGATATATTGAATGCGCCCAATATGAGGCGCAATTTGATTTCTGTCCCCAAGCTAGACGACAAGGGTTATGAGATAAGGCTCAAGTCTAGTCGGGTTACTATTGAGAAGCATTTTAGAGCTTTGGTGTACGGTCCTAAAGTTGACAATTTGTACCAACTGAATGTTAATGAAAGTTCATCATTTTCTGGTTCTATTGATGCTTCTTTTGATGTTTTTATGTGTATGGATGATCCATATTTATGGCACTTAAGATTAGGACATATAAATACAGACAAAATGAATCAAATGGTTAAAAGAGGCTTGCTCCCCAATTTAAGAGAAATTGTGTTCAAAACATGCGAGCCATGTATTTCTGGTAAATTAACTAAGAAGTCTTTCCTTAAAGGGAAAAGGTCTAGTGAGTATTGTTCACTCTGATATATGTGGCCCATTAAATGTGAAAACACATAGAGGTATGGAATATTTCATAACATTTATAGACGATTATTCACGTTATGGATATGTATACCTAATTAGCAAGAAATCAAATGCATTAGAAACATTTAAATAATATAAAGATGAGGTAGAAAATCAGTTAGGTAGACTTATTAAAATTCTTCGAAAAGATAGGGGGGGTGAATATTACTTCGCCTTATTTTCTGAATTTTGTAAGGAGCATGGTGTAATTCACCAAACAACTATGCCATATACACCACAACAAAATGGTTTAGTTGAAAGGAGAAATAGAACTCTAATGGACATGGTTAGGTCCATGATGAGACATTCAAATTTATCACCTTATTTTTTAGGTGAGGCTCTCAACACTGCAATATATATCATTAATCGTGTTCCAACTAAATCGATAGACTTCACCCCATATGAATTATGGACATGTAGGAAACCTGATCTTACTTTCTTGAAAGTTTGGGGTTCTTGGGCATATGTGCTTATACAACCACAAAATAGAGATAAATTACGAAATAAAACTATAAAATGCTCTTTTATAAGCTATTTAGAAAATTCTAAAGGGTATAAGATTATATAACCATGATACTAGTTCATTAGTAGAGAGTCGTGATGCTCATTTCTTAGAAAATATAGATGATGAGA